GAAAGGATCGCCAGAGCCCAGCAGGTCGAGGTTGCGGTGGCTGGGAGCGTGCCACTGCACTCCAGCCTAGGCGACGGAGTGAGACTCCAACCTAAAAAACCAAAACCAAAAAAACCCCAAAACTACCTACTATCGATTTTCTGGGTGAGTCGCTAAACCTTGTGGTCCCTACACATACCCACTGCTCATTGTACAAATGCCTATATCCATCCTTAAGTCATAGTCTGGAGGTGGGTGTGTTTAACAAGCTTCCCGGGATGTTCGATACAGCCAGTGATAGTGAAATATGAAAATGCACCTGGACACTGAGTCTAGCTTGTTTCTCAATGTGCATGTAGGTGAAGATGGGAGTCTTGCAGTTTTCCTGTGTTCTGCTCTTGAAGACTAATAAGAGTAATGTGGTTTATGATGGGGCCTGGTTTTAGAATTTCTTGGCATGCACTTTCTTGTGAAAGAAGCAAACATACTGTGTTAAGATGACTAAAGATGGGCCAGGCTCATGCCTATAATCCCGGCACTTTGGGAGGCTGAGGCAGGTTAATGCTTGAGCCCAGGAGTTGAAGACCAGCCCGGGGAACATAGCCCCATCCCTACAAAAAATTTTTTAAAATTAGCTGGGTCTGGTGATGTGCGCCTGTAGTCCCAGCTGAAGTGGGCTGAAGTGGAAGGATCACCTGAGCCCAGGAGGTCGAGGCTGTGGTGACCCATGATTGTGCCACTGCACTCCAGCCTGAGTGAAACACTTCCCCACCAGCAACAACAAAAAAGATTGTCAGAGGTGAATACTAAAACCAGCAGCCCCAAATGACTGAGGTCCCTTGATTGAAATGTTGTGATGACAGATTTTATATAGAAGCTCTGTTGCCATTGAGCCATCTCTTCTGCCTGAGACTATAATTACTCCTTAGTAGACCCTAACTAAAAACTTTTGTTCTCACCAGATACATAACATCGTGTAGTCTGAATCAAGAACAAAGCCTTCTGAAAGCCCAGAGCAGAAGCCTTTTTGGTCAACATGGAGGGAAAAAGACAGTGAGCTCGAGTGCAGGGAGCCTGGGCTGCCCCTGCTAAGAACTATGCCCCTGCCCAGCCAGGCAAGAACCTGTAGGGATTGTGTGTGTGTGTGTGTGTGTGTGTGTGTGTGTGTGTGTGTGTGTGTGTGTATGGATGTGGACAACTTTCATTCTCTTATTTATATCCTTTTGGTTTATAACATACTCCCCTTTCAGTTGACGTTAAGGAATTATTTGAAACATGTATTTTTTAAAATTTGATTTTGTTGATGATGACCTAAGGGGTGGATCTTTAATTTTCTTCGTATTTAGCCAGGACTTGCAAACCTTTCAGTGTGTGTTGGGATCTTCTGTTGACTTTACCAGCCAATTACTAGAGGTCACTTCCAAGTGGATTTTATTGGTCCTTGCTTAGTAGGAGGTGATGAGAGCAGACTTCCCCCAGGTTTGATGCTTTTCTCTCTTTTGCTTCAGCGACCACTGCTCAGAGCCATCTCCACCAGGTGGCTGGTCAGACCTGGAGGAACAAGGAGCATCATCAGTCCAACAGAGAGTTTGTGTTCAAAGAACCCCAGCAGGTAAATTCCTGTCTCTCCTGCAGCAGTAACAAAGATTTGCTTATAAAGGTCATGTTCACATGGTAGACACTCAGATAAATAGTGACTGCTTAAATGCACTACTGATTAGCAGAGAAGACTGACCATAATAATAATGAAATGGAAAATATTTCAGTTCCTTCCTATGTCTGAGAATTCTTCATAGTCTGCCTCCAGCTATGGTCACATGTTATTGCCATATTGTTTGCAAGGAAGCTCTACCATAATTAGAGCTTGCAGTGGTTATCTGAGTTCTGACAGTGCTAACACCATGCTGTCTTCTGTGCTGCTATAGCAAATTTCTTTGAAATTGGATTGAAGGCGGGCTCGGTGGCTCGGCCTGTAATCCTGTGCCTTGGGAGGCTGAGGTGAGTGGATTGCCTGAGCCTGCGGGTTCGAGACCCGCCTGGGCAACTTGGTGAGACCTCATCTCTACAATAAATAAAAAATTAGCTAGACGTGTAATTCCGGCTACTCGGAAGTCTGAGGCAGAAGGATCGCCGGAGCCCAGCAGGTCGAGGCTGCGGTGGCCGGGAGCAGCCACTGCACTCCAGTCTGGGCGACAGAGTGAGACTCCAACTCAAAAAAAAGAAAGAAAGAAAAAAGAAATTGTATTGAAATTTCAGTTACTACAGCAAAACGTCTGATCTTTAGGGGGCTTTCCCCCCATGGGGAAAAATATAAGAAGCAGTGGAAGATTTACTTTTTAGTAATGTGGGGAAAAGTTTAAAAATCAGACACCTTGCTGTAATAATGATTGCATAGATAATTATTAAAGCTCCTAATTTTATAGTATATCTTTATTTTTATGTAAAGAAGGGTTTTCAAGACCAACTGGCTGCTAGGAAGATTGATCAGTTCTAATTACATCTTCTTACTGTCCTTTTTAGATGTGAAGTAGTTCTAAGAAAGCAGAAACAAAGGTCTCTGGTGTGTAGTTAGAAGTTGGAGTAAAAGTGGGATGGTTTTAAACAGTTTATTTTGGCCAGAAGTGGGAGGATATAGTAAGTCAGTTTCTCTAAGGATTAGGAATCATTCCAGAAGTAAGATCTGCCTGTTTCCTTGCAGGTAGTACGCAAAGCCCCGGAGCCACGAGTGATTGAGTGAGTAATTTGCTGCCTTCATGTAATGTGGCCACAGTGAAATGGAGAGCCTGGAATCTTTCCCTCACCCTGATTTTTCCATCTGGAAAGAAAGGCCAATGAGTGTTTTAATTTTAGGCTGGAACAGTCCCATCTCAGATGCCTTTAAACTTGATCTTTTGAGAAGACTTTCTGAATTTTTGGTGGTATGGAAGATGCAACAAGATCTCTGTATGGTAAACTTTGACTCTGGAGTAGGTTTCCTGGCCCCTTTTCACCAATAAAGTAAACTAAACATCTCTTAGACAGGAGGACTTTTCCTGAGTCACTGAAGCATGGCTCTTCGAGAAGCCTCTAAGTACCATTTTACTTAGCAATGCTTATAAAAACTGCTAGCAGTCTAGTTCACTTAGTAAAACTTAAGTCATTCCAGAAAACTTTAATTATAGTAAAATTCCTCTTGTATTGATTTCTGTCTAAAATGTTCTTATCCAAAATTGATGAGAGACTCTGACTCTTTTCATGCTTGTCAGTTTCCATGTGATATAGACAAATTATCAGTAGAAACTTATTTTAGCAAATTAGCCCTAGGTGTGTGTTCTTGACCATGAGCAATCTGTTTCTTATGCTGTTTGGCCACTTGCAGGTTAGCTTGTATATCTTAGAAAAATTTGAAATGAACACAAATGTCTATACTTTCAAAGAGAATGTCTAGTCTTGACCTTGCCGCTAGCTAGCTATATAACTAGTTCTTAGGTCCATCTCTCTGGCTTTCAGTTTCCTTGTCTGTAAAATTAAGAGTTTGGACTATATAATCACTGAAGGCCCAGGCTAGTTCTAATAGTCTTTGGTTGTTTTAAAAATACCAGTGTGTTATTGCCTTTATTGGTGATAAGGAGAATAAACAAAACCTGAAGCTCCATTGCAAAGTACAGATGGGACATTCTGGCCCCCAAAATGGGCAATTATGAGTTTGCAATTTGGGGAAAAATGACAGAACCCACTTCCTAATTGGCCCTGGATGGTTACTTCTGGTTATCTATAGTTAACAGCACTAGGTTGTTTTTTTAAATAGCCAGAAATGTCGTTCATATTTAAAGTGAGCCAGTTTCTAAATGTGGGCCAAAAATATATCTCATTGAAAATTTTATTCCCTGTGTGTACATGTAAAAATGGATAACAACATTTCAGCTCAAAGGGACTCATACAGCTATCCGAGCTTAGCTCAGAAACTGTGAACTCCTAACTCCTGTGACAGGATGATGTGAAAACTTGTTCTTTATATCATTCTCTGTGACACATCTCCCTTTGAGAAGGATCAACACAGTTGTCTTGATAGGTGTGCCTATCCAGTCTTTGTCACTTTTGTCACCACAGACCTCACCAATCTGCTTATCTGCAGTAGTTTTATACTATTTCACATTTGATTAAATTCAGTAAACTTTTATTGACCATCTGCTGTGTGCAGGCACTGCGAAACAGAATAACCCATTCCCTGCCCTAAGGAGCCCACAGTCTAGTAAATGAAATAGCCATGTAAACAGATAAGTTGTAATCTTGTACATCTTGTCCATGTGTAAGGTCCCAAAAAACACAGATGAGAGGGTTAACATTTGAAAGGGTTAACGGTCAGGAAAGGTTTAGTGGAGGTGATGCTGAACTGGGATTTTTGAAGCGTGAGTTAGAATTTACCCCTGGGTAAAGCTGTAGGTGGTTTGGGTTGGGGACGCTGAGTGGCAGGGAGGCGTTCCAGCAGGTAGAAAAGCATGAGGTCAGAAACATAGTGACGTATTCAAGAGATTCCAAGCAGTCGATTGCTGCTTGAGGATAATGAGTCTGTGGGAGCTGTCAGAAGACGGAGCTGCTTGCATTTATGGGGAGCCAATGAAAGATTTTAATCAGAGGAGGAACCTTGTTAGACATGGATCTCTGAAGGCAACAGAAGCCCAGAGCCTTCAGATGGGCTTGCTACCTGTTAAGTGCATCCTCTATTCCAAATTCTCCAAACAAGCACTGTATTTGATACCTTTTGTGTGATAATCGATGGGGCCATATATGGGTAAAATATAAAAGGGTAGAATCAGGATTTATTTTATTCTAGTTTTTGCCTCTGTGACCTGATCCTGTCAGGTTCTATTTCCAATGCCATTAACGATGACCTCTCATCTCAGTGGGAGGAGAAGGCGGAAGGTCTGCCTCCCTCATAGTAAACGATGTTGGTGAGCCAGGACTCGGCAACTCGAAAGAGTAACTCTTTTTTAAAAAATTTTTATTTTAAAGATGTGGGGTACAATTCAGGGTCAGGGTTAGGTATACAAATAAGAATAACTCGAACTCAGTGGAGTATACTGTTTCGCCTCAGCCTCACAAGTCTATTTCCTTTGCTTCTTTAGCAGAGAGGGTGTATATGAAATCAGCCTGTCACCCACAGGTGTATCTAGGTAAGTGAATCCTCACTAGAATGTGACTATAATTATCACTGAGTTCAGTTTTATAAAATAGTCTACTCCCTTATTTGAAATAGGTTGCTTCTGCCCCTTAAATTCTTGGGGAGCAAAAAATTGGTAATCTCCCCTTATATATAATATAATACTATATAGTATTTCTGGCATTAAAAATTTTTCACATTCCTTCTCTTATTTCCCCCTCAAAGTTTTTTTTTTCACGGGCTTTCTGTCAGATATAATAACTATTCTCCAGTTTTTCAGATGAAGAAATGAGGCCTAGGAAGATTGAGTACTTAATATTAGCACTGCTTCTGGCCTGGACTTCTATGCTATGAGTGCTACATTTTACAAATTATATGTATTGTTATTACAATAATGTAATATTGCTATATTAGGGTGGATTTCAACAAAGTTATAGCATGTATAATTTAAGGCATAGTACGCATTAGTAATTTTTTTAAAATTTATTTATTTTGAAACAGGATCTCACTCTTTTACCCAGGTTGGAGTGCAGTGGCTCACTGCAATGTCAAGCTCCTGAGCTCAAGCGATCCTCCCACCTCAGCCTCCTGAGTAGCTAGAATTACAAGCATATGCCAACACACCTGGCTAACTTTTAAATTTTTAGTAGAGATGGGGTCTTGCTATATTACCCAGACTGGTCTTAAACTTCCTCAAGCAGTCCACCTGCCTTGGCTTCTTAAAGTGTTGGGATTATAGGTGTGAGCCATGCACTCAACTTAATCATTGTTTTTAAAACACTTTGAAAGCATCACCTTAATGCCTGAGTATATTAATTATCATTATAGAGTAATTATAAATTTAAAACAAATATATCAGAACTTATACAGCTAAGTGAATTGCTTAAAAAGAGCTTCTTTTGGACTTGGAAGACTTTGTGAGGTCCATTAGCACTACCATTGTCATAGCCCTTCTTAGAACCCCCTCTTCAAAGAATGTCACCCAAGAAAACCAGTTGCATTATTTTGATTACATCTCATTGCTAACCAGGTGTGACTTCAGGGTCATTCAGAAAATCAAATGCACCTTCAACATAGGGTCATTCAGAAAATCAAATGCACCCTCAAAGAGTAAAAATTGGCTACCACCAAGGCTATTCAAGAGAATGTTCCATGGGCCTTCAGAACATTTCTTAACAAAGGTATCCAGGCCGGGCTTGGTGGCTCAGCCTGTAATCCCGTGCCTTGGGAGGCCGAGGTGAGTGAATTGCCTGAGCCCGTGGGTTCGAGACCCACCTGGGCAACTTGGCGAAACCTCATCTCTACAGTAAATCAAAAAAATTAGCCGGGCATGGTAGCACGTGCCTGTAGTTCCAGCTACTTGGAAGGCTGAGGCGGAAGGATCGCTGGAGCCCAGCAGGTTGAGGCTGCGAGTGGCTGGGAGCGGCCACTACACTCCAGTCTGGGTGACAGAGTGAGACTCCAACTCAAAAAAAAAGAAAAGAAAGGTATCCAAAATTATTTTTAGCTGGATTGGCATTGTTGAAATAAGCACATATATTCAGTGGGAGAGAACCTTCATTAAACTGATTTATTTTGATGCAGTTATAATGATCTCTGGCTTTCCCTAGAATCCGCACAGTCCCAGAAGACCACTAATTGTTTAAATAACACAGGGTCAGACATTTTGTTAGTTGTTCTATTTATTCTTCGCGCTGACCCTGTGAGGTGGGTATCTTCTTCAGGTTACGGATAAGAAAACCAAGATTCAGAGGTTACATAACTTGCCCAAGGTTCCACAGCTAAGCAGTGCTGGAGCAGTCCTTTAACCATGACATGTAAAAGCCCTCACGCATCAGCTCTTTATCCCTCATCCCCTCTTTTATTTGTTTTAACATGACAGGAATTTATTTTACATCTGGAGCATCATGGCCTGGGTGATATTGCTTGTCCTGGGAGATGTTGTCAGATGATTTCATCCACTCATTAGAAGACACATCCAGATTAATTTATTCTGCCAGTGGTTAGAGTCTCATGCATCTTTTCCGTGTTCTTTAGTGATAATGGTTCTTTCTTCATCAAGGGTTTGTTTATATCCTGGCTTTGTTGAAGTAAAAGAAGCCGACTGGGTGTTCGAACAGCTCTGTCAGGATGTTCCCTGGAAGCAGAGGACTGGCATCCGAGAGGGTGAGTTCTTCTCTGAGGTTGAAGTTGTTGCTGCCTGGTCTTCTCTCTGGAATGTTTTCGAATACCCTTCCCTCTTCTCAGCACAGCCAGGCGTAAACAGACATTCAAGACCTGAGACTCTGAGGGTGAGTAGAATTGGCCAATCAAAGGAGGCTGGAGAGGACGACAGGCAGAAGTAGCAGCAGGTGGACGGTCCAGTCATAAGAGAAGGCATGTCAGGAGTAGAGAAGCAAGAGTTCAAGGAACCGAAGGCAGTTTGCTTGGCTGGACTGGGGCTGACGTACCACCTCCCTTTGTGTTTATTCCCAGCCTGTGTTACTTCAGACGGTGCCAACTCTCCACTTCGTAGTCACTTCAGAGCTTTTCTTCCGGCCTTGTTTGTAGACGTTCTCTCATGACCCTTCTCACTGACTCGTTAGTCTCATCTTAACTCTCACTGTGTAAGAGTCTAGTCTCCTTTAGTTTTAACATCTACATGAGGGGGACCGAAAACAGCCCGGAATTTATTTATAAAAAATTGTGTGTGTATTTTTACATATTTAGACTTCACTCACCTTCAAAGTACTCATCGTCTGATGCAACACACCTATCGAGACACTTTTCCCACTGCTCAAAACAGTTTTTTATCTCCTTTGGTCGCTCACTCCTCTCCTACTTGGATAACTGTGGTAAAAACAAAGCAAAACAAAACAAAACAGTTTATCTCAATTTTGATAACTTTTAATGCTTCTGCCATTTTTTGTTTCACTTATTCTACATTGGCAAGACACTTCCCTCTGAGGACTTTCTTCATGGGGGAAGCAAACAAAAAGGTCACTTGAAATAAGATCAGGTGAATAGGGAGGGTAGGTCACGGGGGTCATGCGTTTTTTATCAAAAACTGCTGAATACTCAGCACAGTGTGGGCAGGTGCGTTGTCATGGTGGAAGAATCTGTTTACCACAACTCGGGTTTCTTCCACAAATCATGATGCAACCTTCTTAAAACTTCCAGATAAAAACTTTGGTTGGTTGACTGTTTGATCCGGAGGAACATATTCTGAGGATACTACAAGGGACCGACCTTCCAAAAGATAATTTCAGGTTTTCTGGGATCCCCCTCTTATTCTCCTGAACTTGTAAAGATGACAGTTTATTACCTATCTTGGAATCTGCTCCTCTGTGGGCATCCGTCAGCTAACAGGACCTGTTGTTATACCACAGGTGGTCACTGGGAGGCGTATGTGCTCTTGCAAAGAATTTAAGTTTTCTTGAAAGGAAGAGGAAAGCACATACAGTTATCTCTGTGTCCACAGGGAATTGGTTCCAGGAACCCCCGTGAATACTGAAATCTGTGGGTGCTCAAATCCCTTGTATAAAATAGCATAGTATAAGCTGGGCTCGGTGGCTCAGCCTGTAATCCTGCGCCTTTGGGAGGCTGAGGTGAATGGATTGCCTGAGCCTGCGGGTTCGAGACCCGCCTGGGCAGCGAGACCTCATCTCTACAATAAATCAAAAAACCAGCCGGGCGTGGTAGTGCGCGCCTGTAGTTCCGGCTACTTGGAAGGCCGAGGCGGAAGGCTCGCCGGAGCCCAGCAGGTCGAGGCTGCGGTGGCCGGGAGTGGCCACTGCACTCCAGTCTGGGTGACAGAGTGAGACTCCAACTCAAAATAAATAAATAAATAAATAAAATAAAATAGCATAGTATGTGCATATAACCGACACACATCATTCAGTATGCTTTAAACCATCTCTAGATTACTTATGATACCTAATACAATGTAATTGTTACATAAATGGTTATTATACTGTATTTTTTTCCCTGTGGTTTTGATATAGCAGACACTGCATTGTTTATTTTTCATGTTTTATTGTTATTTTTAATTTTCTTTCAAACATTTTTTGTCCTCGGCTGGTTGACCCTGTGGCTAATTGAATCCGCACATGTGGAACCCGCAGATGCTAAGGGCCAGCCGTCCTGGCTACATTTTTGTTACTCTCACATCAGAAGAGGAGTCAACTTTTTCAGGGGAGCTTTGTCTCAGTTCTCCAGCAGGGCTTTTGGTGACAGCCTTGGCTTTGTTTGCTCTGACATTCCAAGTAGTTGTTAGTTTTAAGCAAACAGTGAAGTAACTCTTTGATCCTTGGCTTTTAAAATCTGTAACATTGAACTAATAATAATTTCTACCTTAAAAGGTTGTTGTGTTAATTTAATGAGATAATATAAGTGCTATACAGAATGCCCAGTACATAGTAAGTCTTCAGTGGATGCTAGCTGCTTTTATTATTGTTGTTCTTATTGTTATTGTGACTGATATAAATTGTGGGAAAAATAGCAGACCTGCGGATAACTCCCTCTCTAAATGAATTTGAACATCAGAAACTTCTGGCTGAAATCAGCTACATGTTACAGTTGGCCGAACACTTTTTCCTTCATTCAGAATCAAAAGGGCGTATACAATGTTGGACTCATAGGTGAACGCTTGTCTTATTTTCTGTGTGGATGTTGGTACCACACATTCCTACCGACAAGGCTTCAGGCTCCAGATCCTGCGTCTCCAGACTGTCCCTGGTCTGAGTCCCAGTGTTCCCCAGTGTGACTTCTCTCTTGCTTATGTCATAACAGATACAAGTAAGTCACACACACACTCTCCTCCGAGCCCTTGCCCATACCGTCTCTTGTCTCGGAGCTCTGACCCATTCTACTCACTAAGTCCCGTGTGCTCTAAAGGTGAAACCTGGGGTCTGAGCCCATCCTTTTCCTTTGTATTTCTCATAGCTTCTTGCACACTGCAAGACACAGAGTTGGCACTTAGTAGGTGAACCCTAAACAGCATGAAACCATTTCAAAGACCCTGTATTTTCTTTCTTAGATATAACATATCAGCAACCAAGACTCACAGCATGGTATGGAGAACTTCCTTACACTTATTCAAGAATCACTATGGAACCAAATCCTCACGTATGTTGAAATATTGTCACTGGTATGGCTTTATAGACGATATACTGTAAGTGCTGAGTACTGTAAAGTAATAATAAATTACCCTGCAGAGATGCATGCTGGTTCCAGTTCAAAAAGTCCTCTGGGTTCAAACACTGAGTCTTTGCCTGTCTTCCTTTATGTGCTTGTGATCACAGATGAACTCAGAGGGTGAGAAAAAACTAGAACTAGGATCAACTGGAACCCCAGGATTTCGGGAAAATGAACTATTTCTTCTCTTAATATCCCACTTCCCCAGAGAAGGGAACCCTTCTGTGTACACCCTGGTGTGCATTTTCTGTGGTGCTGTGTCCTTATGACTGGCCAGTGAGGTCAGAATGTCTTTTTCATTTCTTAGGCTCTTGTTATTTGTGAAAATTCTGGTGTTCTTCTTGTTGACGTTGTATTCATTCTGTGACTGCAGTTCTCAGACTTCTAACCAATTACTGGTTTGGCTTGTTTCAGCTGCTGCTTTTGTTTTTAAAAATTTCCATGACAGTAGACAAAGACATTTTAGTATATAAATTAAGCTTGTCCAGAGGACGGAATCAAGGTCCAAGGAATAGCTCCCTGTTTAGTCCCTGGAATCTTGCCTTTGGCAAATAATATTATGCTTTACTGACAGACACTTTGAAGCACATCAAGTTTTGCTTATGGCATTGGGATACGCAGAAATGTGACACATTACAGAGCTTCTACTAATTTGTAATCACAAACTGCCACTTAACTACGACGTTCAGGTATGAAACACTGACTGAGGATGCGTGACTCTTTCACGTGAGGAGATAGTTACATGCTTTGGTTTCACTGAGAATGAGATCCAGGGAAGTATCGAGACCCTTTATATATGGGGTTGACTGGGCAACATGGAAAGAATGAAATCAGACCAGTCCAACACAGGCTGCTGCCCTCATTTCTGTCAGAACTAATTTATTTTCTTGCCAGCAATTATAGCAGAGAAGTTGAGGGTTAGACTGCATGTGGGGAAGAAGCCCTTTCTCATTTATTTTAGTTAATCTTTTAGAGCAGGGTGTCTCCACCTTGGTACTCTTGACATTTCAGGCTGGGTAATTCTCGTGGGCCTGTCTTGTGCAATGCAGGGTGTTTTGCAGTATCCATGACCTCTACCCACCCCTCACCAGTCGTGACAAACCAAAATAACTCAAGACATTGTCAGACATCTGCCGGGGGTAAAATTGTCCCTGGTTAAGAACCACTCTTTCAGAATAAATGTGAGGCACACAGTAGCCTGTTATTGTCGGATACTTTGGGAACATTTTGGTAACTCTTCAAAAGAGTTGTTTTTATGACAGTCCTTTTTTTAAAATGTAAGTAATATGTGCTTATTATTGAAAATTTAGAAGCTGCAGATAAACATAAAGAAGAATAGCAAAAGGTTGATAATTCTTCTACCTGATGTTCTGTTTTCAGTCTATTTCATTTTAGGCAAATATATGTAGAGAATCTTTTTTTTATAAAAATAAAATAAATTTTGTGTATAACACTTCATTTAACTGTGTGTCACTAACATGCTACAGTATCATTAAATATTCTACAACATCCTATCTTATAGCTGCATGATATTCCATGATTTATGTGTACTGTAATTTTTCAAACAGTCCTTTTTTGTTTGGTATTAAGGTGTTCAAATTAGAATTCTCTAATTTGAATTTGCTGGCTCATAACTTTGTATTTATTGCTAATATATTTAGTTCACTTATATATGGTCTTGAACAAAAGCAAAGGGGTTTTGTTTTCCCAGATGTTTTTAAAGGAAGACTTGCTATTTTTAAAGGAAGACTTGCTATATATGTATGTTGGGAATACTTGTTTAATTTTATTCAATTTTATTCTATTTTATTTATTTATTTATTTATGAGTTGGAGTCTTACTCTGTCGCCCAGGTTGGAGTGCAGTGGCATGCTCATGGCAACCACAGCCTCGACCTGCTGGGCTCAGATAATCCTCCTGCCTCAGCCTTCCAAGTAGCTGGAACCGTAGGTGTGTGCCACTGTGCCCAACTAATTTTTTTTATTATTATTATTGTAGAGATGAGGTCTTGCTAAGTTGCCCATGCTGGTCTCGAACCCCTTGCCTCTGCTTCCCAAAGTGGTGGGATTACAGGTGTGAGCCACCACACCTAGCCTTAATTTTAAAAATGTTATTTCCTCAAGCTTAATATTCCATAGCAAAGGAGCAAGTTCAATCATAGGTTTTTAAACTTCTTTTATTCTTAGTTCAAACTAAATCTTAGTGAACCCAGTGGAAAAAACAAATCAAAGGCTTGACAGGCTGGGAGTCCCACCAACTTAACCTTTTCTGTCTCCTGCTACAGACCCAGAGGCACCTCTGTGAGACCCTGGACTCTATGAAACACTGTTTGAAATCCACTGAATAGGTCCTTTTACTTCTGAGATTCATATTTTCTCATCCCCTTTTTCTCAAGTGTCTTTTAAGGATAGAATGTCTTCACTGAACAGTGAGATGATGCTATATTTTAATTTAGACATTCAGTTCTGAAGGATCCATATATAGAGTATTGGTTGAAGAGTCTAAATAAACCCTCTAGTTCATTATCCCCTTTTTCCTTCTGTACTTCACTACCAAAAATAACCAGGAAAAATATACCTACTTAGAAACATAATGCAAACTTTGTGTTATCATGGCACTCAGTCCCTAAGCATGTCAGGGAAGTGCTAATTGAATTCTTAGTCAAATTGTAGGAAATGCATCTCCCTCCTTTACATTCTTGTTTTTCTTGTTAAGTGTATAATTCTAGTGTCTGATTTTTATCTCCATGAAGATAAATTTAAAGCTGTAAAATAAATAGGAAATACAGCTTGCCAACATTATTATTGGAATTCCACTTTGGAATTTCTTCTTTTGTACGTAGGTTAGTTTAATAACATTTTTGTTTTATGAAGGTGGATTTTATGTGTTTTTCTACCACAATAGAAAAAGAGAGAGAGAGAGAAAATGCATAAACTTGCAACTTTCAGAGGCTTCCTGAGTTTCCTCAGGTGTCCCATTGGCCAGCTGATGTTGCTGTTTATTTTTTCTTAATCCCCTGCTTAGAATATAATACTAATATCCACAACAAGGAATTCCAGCTTTAACCATAGTTTTCACAATATATTAAAGCTGGCTGATTCTCACATATGCTTCCCTGGCTTCACTTGACAATAGCCATGGGATAACTTAATAATTTTTTTTTTTTGAGTTGGGGTCTCACTCTGTTACCCATGCTGGAGTACAGTGGCATGCTCACTGCCACCGCAGCCTCAACTTGCTGGGCTCAGGTGATCCTTCTGCCTCAGTCTTCCAAGTAACTGGAATTACAAGCATGTGCCACCATGCCTGGCTAATGTTCTTTCTTTTTTTTTTTTAATTGCAGAGAGGAGGTCTTGCCACATTGCCCAGGCTGGTCTCGAACCCCTGGGCTCAGGCAGTCCTCTCAACTTCCATCTCCCAAAGTGCTGGGATTACAGGCGTGAGCCACCACGCCCAGCATACTTAATAATATTAATATTATCTTTCCTTCACTACCAAGAGACTTTTGCGTTCTTTAAAGTAGCAGCTCTTGAAGTATAATCTGTGAATCCCTGGAGAATTCATGAAACCCTTTGGGGAATCCACAAATGATACCATTTTCACAGTAATGCTGAGACCAAATGCATTTCACATTTTTGAATTTGTACTGATGGCACAAAAGTAATGGTGGAGAACACGCTGGCCCCTGGCATGAGTCAAGTTATTGCCGCCAGACTGAACCAGTAGTCACTGTGTTTTTCATCGCCATGCACTTCCGGTCTAAAGTGTTTTAAGTACTGGCTTCACTTAAGAATGTCCCTCGATGAAGCAGTAAATGTTTTATTAAATCGAGTCCTTTGGGTAAATGTCTTCTTACTAGTTTTCTTGGTGACATTGGAAATTCACCTAAAGCACTTCCGCTACAACCCACAGTGCGGTTGTTTGAGCTTTAAGCCAAACTAGCTACTTTCTTCATGGATCATTTCCACTTACAAGAAAACTGACAGACTGGTTATTCAGACTTGAGTATCTTGCAGACATTTCCTCATAAATGAAGTGAATGTCACTTGAAAAAAAAATGGACAGGATTTATTGCTAATGATAACAGCTGAGTTTTCAAGTGAAAATTAAAATATTGGAAAACTGATATCTGACACTTTGAGCCTAACCTATTATTATTATTATTATTTTGAGTCAGAGTCTCACTCTGTCATTCAGGCTGGAGTGCAATGGCATGCTCACAGCCACCACAGCCTCAACCTGCTGGGCTCAGGTGATCTGTCCACCTCAGCCTTCCAAGTAGCTGGACCTACAGGCACTCACCATCATGCCTGGCTTGTTTTTTGATTTATTATAGGGACAAGGTCTCACCAAGTTGCCTGGGCTGGTCTCGAACCTCTGGGCTCAGAGTATCCTCCTGCCTTGGCCTCCCAAAGTGCTGGGATTATAGGGGTGAGCCACTGTGCCCGGTTATGTTCCCATTATGTAGATGTTTCTGATGAGATCGGTGGTAATTTTCACAAATGTGATTTTTTTTTTTGTTACTGTATGATGAAATGTGTCAGCTTCTAGAAGAGCTATGGAGCTCATTTTCCAGATGACCAATGGTTGATATGACAAAACCATTAAAGCTCCATTCAAAGTGCAAGCTGGAACAAAGGTTTTAAATGTAAAAGAATGTGAAAAATTTGGTATGGTTTCAGTTTCCACATTGTAGCTAACGTTTAAGAAATCAGCACTTGTTGAATTTGGGCATAAATTGAAGAATATCTACAGTTATTTGAAAAGGCTATAAACTACATGCCTGTGTGAAATCAGGTCTATTTCTTCATATACTTCAAAAAAAGGCATATTTTAACAGTGACTGCAGAAGCAGATATGAGAATCAGCTCTCTTCTATCATCAGATGTTAAAGCAATTTACAAAACAAATCCACTCTTCTCATCATTTCTTTATATTGGGAATTATAGTTACTTTTCATTAAAATATTATGTTGCAAGTAATGGGTTTGTTTTGCAATTTAACTGAATAACCAATAGCTTAAATTTTTCAGTTTTAATTTTAGATATGGCAAATACCAAAGGCTGTACCCATACAAAGTTCTTTGAGGTCTGCAATACTTTTTAACAATATACACTTTATATAAATAAATAAATACACTTCAAACTTGAACCACTGTTCCAAAGGAAGCCCTGTAAAGCACTTGAGTTTTCTGGGAAAAAAGACAATTCTAGCAAGAACCAGTACAAGCGCTGCTGTTTGTTGCTCCCAAGTACAACCTGAGGTCAAGGATCATGGCTTCCTGTAGTGTGTGTAGCAAGACAGTGCCAGATAAAAACTCTATCGGTGAACTTGGTGCCCAGGAGGCAGGGCTTGTGCAGTCTGTCTTTCGTACAAGTTCATGGTTTACACACTTGTTCAGAGCACGTCATGATTCCCCTTCTGTAGAGAAAAATATCTTTCCCCTTCAGGTTCTGTTTTTAGGAAGTTAGCCACCCTGGAAGTATTAAATATCTTTTTTAAAAGAGCAATTCTGCCCTTCAGGATAAAATAAAAGTGGACCAGACAGCGGGCCACCCAGCAGGAAAATTGTTGCACTCTTGGCGGCTTCAGTCTAGGTCTGCCAGGTCCTTGGCTACATGTCAGCTTTACTGATCCTTAATGACTTACCAGGCCACTGCCCTAAATATCCTGACCATTTCTTCGTTGCCAGGGTCATGTATTTAACATGGAAAGGTTGAGGTGAGTGGACAGGCCTGGTCACCACGGCACTGACAAACCAAATCTAGTACTTTTATAAAGTTACAGAGGTCAGTTTGCTTCAACATAAAAATGGTGGGAAGAAGTTAAACCACTCTTCTTGCCTTTTGTCTGTTGCATTCCAAGTGGTTTGCTTATCCCACGCCTGGTTTATAACTGACTGATTCTGCCCTTTCTTTCTGTTTTTTCTTGGTGGCTGCCACCTTTATATCTCTGTCTCTGCCCTCTTCTTGGCCTGTGTCCTACAGTGGCATCCCGTGCTGAGCACACTGAAGAGCCGCATTGAAGTGAACACCGGCCACACCTTCAACTCCTTGCTCTGCAACCTTTACCGAAGTGAGAAGGACAGTGTGGACTGGCACAGTGATGATGAGCCCTCCCTGGGGAAGTGCCCTGTCATCGCATCGCTTAGTTTTGGTGCCACACGCACTTTTGAGATGAGGAAGAAGCCGCCGCCTGTGAGTCTTCTCTTTTTCTTATGCTCCTCCTACCTCCTGTTATCCTGTGAAAAAAGTAGAGCCTTCTACCTTCAGATCTAGAGGATGGGAGTACGCGTTTTGCTGATGAAACCGCTTCGAGTGGTTCCTCACCTCATGGGTGGCTTTTGACTTCCAGAGTGCCCATTCATTCACTTGCTTGTCCAGTAGGAATTGCCTGCCCTGTGCCCCATGCTAGGGGCTCATTTCCACTGTGGAAAGGACAGACACAGCTCCCTGTCCTCATGGAGATACGGGCCAGTGGGGCTAGGCAGCCATTGCAGATTACTCAGACTGCAATTGCGATGCATGCCGTGAAGGAACTTGTAGAGAGCTCAGCTCGGGGGCAAGAAGGCAGAGGCAGGGGGCTCAAGGAGGATGCCTCTGAAGAAGGTTTCTTTGAGGTGTTCTTCCTGGTGATGTAATGTAAGCTTGCTTGTAAGGAACATTATACGTAGCCTCATCCCTTCTTAGCCGTCTCCTGAAAAACAGATGAATCTGTGACTTCAGAGAGAGGAAACTCAAGCCAGATGCTATGAGGTGGTGATATGTCCGTGGTCAGGTAGATAATAGTGACTAAATTGTAGGATAACTTCAGTCTTCCACCCAAACTCTTACCTAGATTGTGTGACATTCAAGTGATGCTAGGGTTATTAGTTTTTTAAAAATCAGCCAGGCTCGGTGGCTCAGCCTGTAATCCCGGCTTTGGGAGGCTGAGGTGAGTGGATTGCCTGAGCCCGCGGGTTTGAGACCCGCCTGGGCAACTTGGCGAGACCTCATCTCCACAATAAATCAAAAAATTAGCTGGGCGTGGTAGTGCGCGCCTGTAGTCCCAGCTACGCGGAAGGCTGAGGCAGAAGGATCATCGGAGCCCAGCAGGTCAAGGCTGTGGTGGCCAGGAGCGGCCACTGCACTCCTGTCTGGGCGACAGAGTGAGACTCCAACTCAAAAAAAAATCAAAAGTGTTCATTTCTTAGGACTAAGAAAGACAGTGGGACTCCAAGAAAAGCGAATCCTCTGCCAAATTATCTTATTTTCAGGGTTTGTGCCTTTTCCTAAGCAGTGTTCCTGATCATTCAGCTCATAACATTAAGCCAGACCCAACAGGCTGTTTTTTGGCTCTGACCTAATCCAGACCACATCATTATCAGCCAGCCATGCTCATGTCTGTTCTTCATTAGATATACTTCTCTAAGGATGCAATTGATAGACCGGGTGTTTTCCTCACGTGCATTTGGGTTTCCATGCCTGGTATTTTGAAGCATATTGTGTTATTCTGCACATATGCCACGGAGCACCTTTTGTTGGTATAATTTCCTTTGATTACGTTTTCTTTGCTTTTGTTTATGGAGAAATTTTAATCATCGTTAGCAGGAGATTATCATTTGCCAGTGCCTTATGGAGTGAACCTGCTCCCTGCACACTTTGAACGGTCTTCATTTATACTGGCAAGGAGCCCACTCACGAACCAGAGTTCACTTGAGAATCAGACAGCCCAGCCTTTGCTATCTGCTTTTTAGGTATGGTTATACTTAATGTACATAGACTTGTATTCAGTTAAATACCAATCTCACACGTGTGAAGAGTTCGTCCTGTCCTTAGTAAGACTCCTGTGATAGAAAAAAACCACTGTGTCTCATTATTTAAGTTCAGACTGTCTTTTCAAGTCAGGCACATGGAACATCATATTTTGGTCAGGGGTGGTCCTCGGACTGCAGCTGTAGCAGTGAACAAGATGGAATCGTCTTTCTCCTGCTGGAGCTCATTTGTCCCCTGCTATCCAGCGCTTTCCGCCAGAGCTGTCGTTCTGTCCTTCTGACTACCGAACAAGCTGTAGTATGCGTCACCTTTGGCATAATCCTGGGCTTCAGTTCTTCACAGTTACTTTCTCTGTTGCAAAGTATCTACTTACTGTTTCTTTACACTTATACATTCACCACCACCCCCTTTAAAAATTTTTTTGGCTTATGGATAGATTTGGAGCTTAGGAATTCCCGAAGTATGCTTTCTGGATAATTAGTTTTACTGTACAGACAGTTTCCAACTATTAAGCATTAACAGTGTTCTGGTGCCCAGAAATACCCTATTCCTTTTCCTCTCTAGGCAGCTGAAGCTCTTCCTTTTCTCATATAAAGACATAATACACGGGCTGGGCACGGTGGCTCATGCCTGTAATCCTGGCAATTTAGGAGGCTGAGATGGAGGATCACTTGAGCCCAGGAGTTTGAGACCAGCCCATGTAACATAGTGAGACCCCATCTCTATAAAAATAGAAATAAATGAAAATGAAGACATAATACATGGTGACCAAGAGCTATTTCTTAGTAATACACTTTGGTTATGTTATAGGTTAGTGTGTGGGTGGAGAACATAACTTCCACGTATAGCATTGTTTTTGTGGGTAGCTGTTTGGAACAAAATGTTTGCTTATGGGGAGACTACCCACACCCTATACGGAGGGTTTCTCTTCACCTCGGCCTGCTTGGAGTCTGTTTTGGTGAACGTGAGTGTCAGCATCGGCATGACACACTCAAAAGTGGTGAAGTCCCATTAATTGTCTGCCTGTGGCAGGGGAATCTGCAGTAGAATAATGGTGGCTGATTTATGAAAATACAGACCTAATAAGCAAGAAAATTTGAGATTTTGAAACAAAGTTGGCTTGAGGAAACGGATTTGGGAAGAAATATAAATATGTCAGTACCTCAGATTATTGATTCTAGTTAGTAGGTTGTGGTTTCTGGTGTAGTCTTAGCTATGATTGAATTTGATGCAATTTTTGTGTATCCTCCCAATTCTGGCTTTTGTTGAAGATGGGGAAATTGAATGTCAATGTATTTAAGATTATCGTCACACGAGTACAGCTTAAAAATAACTTTTTTTTTTCAGGGCCTGTAAGTTCCATTCTTGTATAAACAGGACACAAGTTTAAACTTTTGGAAAGACTTCTTCAGGTTTCATTAACAGATTCCAACAATCTGGGGTACCACAAATGTAGCAGCCTTTCTTTGAGTTGACTGCCTTGGAGATATATCTAGAGTACGTCATCTTTATCTTATAAATGATTCTGTTTTCTGAAGGATTGAAAGGAAATGGTTATTGCAACTCTTTGTCTACTTTTCTATCTAAATTCAGGTGATAACTCTGAGAACATGACTCATGATTCATGCAACCCAAGGTAAAAGCATAAATTAAAAAATATAAATTATGTTAGTTTCCTGTGTGGGGTTTGTAGGAGTCTGACTTCCTGTAATTCTTAGGGACCTATCTCATCGTGTCACTACAGATTGTAATTGTCATGTCTGTCAAGACACTTGGAATATGTTAAGGTTGTGGGAGGGAATCTTTCAAACTCCTGTTAGCTCTGATCTATTGGAGGAGAAACTAGTACCTTTTGGACTTGAGTCACAATTTCTCATCTGAAGCGGACATGGAAGAGTCATGAGATTTCCTGCCCTTCATTCAAGGTTGCAATTTTGAAACAGAAAAGCATTTGTTTTGAAAAGGAAGAAGCATTTGTTTTGGGCCCCTTTTAAACAGTCTTGATTTTTTAAAAATTCAAAATCTTCTAGCCTTGCAGCAGTTGTTTGTTTTGCAGTCTGGCACCTTGAGCACATTTCTAGCTGCTCATCCTCTGAAAGCTGCCTCAGTTCCACACACTATGTTCTAGTAGCTTCTGCCTGTGCTGAGATGGTAAGGAGATCTTGTTTCCTAAGCTCCAGTGCCTCTCTGATTCATGCAGTTGGCTCAGTCAGCTTCACGCATATGTCATCTCTGGGATTAAACATCTCACTCCTCCAAGGTGCCGATCCGTTTTTCACTGTCCTCTAGTCCGTTTTTCACTGTCCTCTAGTCCAGCGGTCCCCAGCCCTTTTGGCACCAGGGACCAGTTTTGTGGAAGACAGTTTTTCCACAGACCCAGAAGGGTGGTGGGAGGGATGTCAGTCAAACTCACTGCTAATGATAATCTATATTTGCGGCCACTCCCAGTGCTAGCATCACTGCCTCAGCTCCACCTCAGATCATCAGGCGTTCGATTCTCATAAGGAGCGCACAACCTAGATCTCTCACATGATAAACTAATGAGAAACTAATCACGCCTCTGAGAAACTAATGCTGCAGCTGATCCGACAGAAGCGGGAGCTCGGGCAGTAATGCAAGCGATGGGGAGTGGTTGTAAATACAGGGGAAGCATCGCTCACTCGCCCACTGCTCTTCCCCTGCGTGCAGCCCAGTTCCTAATGGGCCACGAACCAGTACTGGTGCATGGTCCAGGGTTGGAGATCCCTGCTCTTGTCCAAGTCTGCCAGCTCTGCTCCTTCATTCTGACTTGAGAGAAAATTGCCATTTCTGTTAATAAGATGACTCTCTTTACTTGGGCGCGTCAACTTCTTTGCACTTGCTTTTCTATTCACCCCAATTCCTTCTTTTGTTTAGTTCAAATCAAAGCCTGAGTGAGGAGCACCTTATCTATATTCTGGCCAGTGTCAGGCTGTCTGTCTTAAGACCAAGGCAAAATTTGCCAGATATACTTCAGTAAATCTTTTTTATTTTATCAGGCTGGGCTCATTACAGCTTTTACACTTCTTAGCCCAAACCAGTTGTACTTTTCAAACTACATCATGTCCCTGTTTGCAAAGATGAGTCTGGTTCTTTTTCTAGCTAGCTTTAATTCTATACTGAAAAGCAAGCTGGAAAGGAAACTACAAAAGCCATTTGGCAGGCTGCTATTTCTCTGTCGGTTACCATGGAAACAGTGAGGGTTGGGGGTTTATTAGATAATAGCAGGAAGTTTGTGATGCACTGGAGGTTTAGATGCCAAAGCCTTGCTTTTCTAGCAAATTTCCCCTGGATAAACTGTTCTTCATCAGCTGCAACCTGCAAGTGTAAAGGGCTTCTGTCCACCTCAGGGTGGTTGAGCTGAGGCAAGCAGGACCTTTCTCTCACCGGTCCTCCCTAGTCCTTCTGGAGCATGTGAGCCCTGT